AGAACAGCGCATGTGTCTTCTTTGCATTCTAAGAACTTTTGTTGGACTTCATCTTTCCAATCGGTGTCATCTCTGTCAACAAGTCTGTCATTGACAAATTTTAAGACTGCTCTGCTTAATGTTTTATGGTTCTTGTCATATTCCCAGAAACAGAACTTTAGAACAAATTCACCTTTCTTGTTTACACTATGTAAGATTTTATGGTCGACAGATGTTTTGCTGTCAAAAAGCTTGTCTCGAATATAGATAGCGAAATCGCTAGACATTTTCTAAAAGATAAAAATTTTAATTTTTCTAAAAATATGTTAGAAAAAAAGTTTGCTGACATTGACAAGAAATTTGAGAATGTTTTAAACAAGAACAAGAGGAAGTTAGAAAATGCTCAGATAAAGCCTATACATGACAAGTTCTTATTTGCTCAGAATGGTATAACAGGTCTAATTGCACCACCTGGGTCGGGTAAGACTTTCACTTATCTTAAAATGGCTGCACAACAACAAGAACTAGATGAGAAGAACCCATTCTATGAGTTAGTTGTTATTTGTTCGACTTCTGGTCAATTTGACCAAACCGTCAATTCGTTCAAAGATATTATAAAGAAGTCTAAGTTAGTATGTATAAAGGATACTGAGTTGTTAGATTGGATAAAGAAGTACCAAAGAAGAGTTTTGAAGTATAATGCTATAAATGAGTATATAAATTCGAAGTTTAAAGACCCAAATGAGGAAATGCAGAGAATATTAGAGAAGAAACACTTCAGAAACAAACAGAAAGAGATAGAATACATTTCGAAGAAATTGCAATCTTACGATTGGAAAACGTACCCTCATAGATGTCTTCTTATCTTAGATGACTTTGCTTCTCATCCTTTGTTAAAGAACAGAGAACAAGATATGTGTCGAATTCTTAAGAAGCTCAGACACTTTAACATCTCAGTCGTAATATGTGTACAGACAGCAAAGAGTTTAAGTAAGGATGTTAAAAGAATACTTACTGACATTATACTTTTCCCCGGATTGTCCGAAGACGATTTCATGGAACTTATGAAAGAGTCCATGGCAGGTAAGTTTGACAGACATGAACTATGGGAGAAGTACAAAGTCATACAAGACCCTCATACTTCTTTCAGAATTCATATCTACGCAAACAAAGTTCAAATTGTAAAAAGTCAAGCTTGAAAAATAAATGGTTCATTTACTCTGCTTGTTTGAAGTTGTCAAAATACTCTGTTATTTTTCACGATTTTCATAGAGTTTTAGGCTAGACCGATAAAATCCGGTCTAGAGAAATTTCACGATTTTCATACGGAATCTCTTCTCTCGGTTCTCCGAGGGAAGCAAGCATATGAGGAAATTCATGAAATTTCATACGGAATTCAGCAAAAATAATGTTTATGTTAGAATGTTAGATCTAACATGTTTTCTAACATGTTTTCTAACATGGTCTAAAACATACAAAATTCATGAAATTTCATACGGAATTCAATAAAAATAATGTTTATGTTAGAATGTTAGATCTAACATGTTTTCTAACATGTTTTCTAACATAACTATTTACAAGCGTTTTACATGGTATATGTTGCGATGGTTCATGACTCTAAACAATTTCGTAGCTTCTATTTCTTCTGTCAGTATGTCAAAAGTTTTAACGATACCGAAAGTTTCTTTATACTTCTTCTTGACGTCAGATAGAAGGAAATCGTCAGCAGTTGGATAGTTTTTGTTCAGAAATTCTAACATGTTCATTTTATCTTCTGCTGGTTTTTCTGCTTCTTTCTTTAAATCTGCATAGTCGTTTCGCATACGTTCTATCTCTTTGACGGAGTAGTTATATTTCCTCATTGCTGCTTTACATTTTGAACATTGCGGGTTCATTTTTGCGTTATATTCTGAAACCTTACCTGCTAAAACAACCAAGGCGTCAATGGTTTTCTTCATCTCGAACATAGCGGGTCTTATTTGTTCGTTCCATACCTTACCCCTACTATCTTTATCTCTTATTTCCCAAACACATTTTGCAACTAATGAAACAAAGTTGTCGTAGGTCTTAAATTCTTCGGATTTGTAAAGGTCAGAGATGTTCTTATATACCATGTCGCAATCTTTGTCCATAACCTTATGGTTGCAATGAAAACCAAGGAATTCATAATTTACCTTTCGTATGAACTTCTTTATTTCTACTGAGTCAGTTGCTTTGACTTCTATTTCGTCAAATTCGGGAATGGTTAGTTTTTGTTGTTGGATTTCAGGCAATTTGGGTAAATGGTCAATAATGTCCTGCATTTCATAAAGATACTGTTCATTTGTTTCATCTTTCGCACTACAGTCTAAATTACTTGTTAAAAGTTCTTGCTTTATCTTCTGGATTTTTGTTTCGAAAGTATATGAAGAAGGAATGAAGTTTTTCATCTCTACTAACATAGATGTTGGATTCATAACTAGCGAGTTTGGTGCTGTAGTTGTTTGAATTGTTGTTGTGCCGATTGTTGAAATCATGTCTTTTATACAAAATAAAAAAAATAAATAAAATAAAAAATAAAACTAATTTTATTTTTTATTTCGGGAAAATTCATGAAAATTCAAGAGTTTTAGACCATGTTAGAAAACGTGTTAGAAAACATGTTAGATCTAACATTCTAACATAAATTATATTTTTGGTGTAAATTTCATGAAAATTCAAGAGTTTTAGACCATGTTAGAAAACGTGTTAGAAAACATGTTAGATCTAACATTCTAACATAAACATTATTTTTGCTGAATTCAGCAACAAAATTCAAATTGTAAAAAGTCAAGCTTGAAAAATGTAAGTGTTTAGTCTTAGTAAGATGGTAGCTTCTTAAAGCAAATACCATTGCTGAGTTTTATGTACGTGAAGAGAAGTACAATGAATTCAATTACGAGTACAATTGCAATGACAACTAAGGCAACTATTTTTGTCTTTTGCCAGCAAGGGTACTTCTTCTCTTCCAATGGTTCGGCAGAACTATACTCACTCATGAGAAATGCCAAAACGGTTTAATAGAAAAAGTGTTATTTTTTCATGTCCGAAGACTCGAAGGTGCAACACTTCCAAAATACCGACGAACTCAGAAGAGCAGCATGGCAGTATGTTCTTGACAACTTCTTTGAGTTCTCCAGGCACACCTTGGAAAATGCTGAAGAACTCCGACACAGAGAATTTGGAGAAATTGCACTCCAATACTACATTGACAAACAAAGGGTAAACAAAGGGTAAACAAAGGGTAAAATAAGACTAAAAACTTAAGGTTTAAAAAAGTGACATTTTTATGAGCTCCGAGTCACCGAGAAAACTTGGTCAGATGTTAGCAGCTTACTTCCCTGAGGAGGATGGAAGCGTTACATACGTAAGGTTCAAAAACAACGAACCTGGAATTGCGTACCAAATTCGCAATTACATGACCATGGAAGAGTACGAAAGGTTCCTACAAGAGAAACCAGCTCTAAACAACTCAGAAAAGAAAGAATAAAAAGTTTAACTCGTAATTGTTTATTTTTTTACTTGTATGGGCAAGCTGCAAGAATGAAGTCGACTATCTCAGTCTTTGTCTTGACCAGTTGGACTGCTCTTGCGAGTACGTCTGTTTTGCGGTCTCCAGCTGGTGTCTGACCTTCGTAATTGCGCATGTTCTTGAGAGCTCCAGTTGTAAATGATTGTAGGATGAAGAGTCTCTCAGACTGCTTGAGGTAGTCTTCACGGTCACGAACCGAATCTGTGGTACGAGTCGAATCGGTCGATTTGAGGGAAGAGACTGAAAGCCTGTCGTCTTCCATAGGGGCTGTGGCATAATCTTTGCGTAAGCGGTTCAGACCTTCTTCGAACTCTTGGTCTCTCTTGGACTGAGATTGGAATTGCTGGGGTGGAGCTTGCTGGAACATCCAAGGGTTGGGGAAGTAAGGCATAGGCTGAGGAGGGTAGTTCGGGAAGCCTTGTAGTGGAAATTGGTAGTAACCTTGAGGTGGAAATTGGTAGTAATTTGGTGGAGGGACTTGCTGGAACTGAGGTGCAGGGGCTGGTGCTTTAGGTTCCTCTGGTTTGGGAATGGACTCGGTTGGTGGGACGTCGGACATTCGTCTGTGGCTTAACCGTCGGACCACAACGATAAAAATCTCTGCTCCTAGCAGTACTGCTACTGACAGTAGCAGTACTTTTACTGACAGTAGCAGTACTTTTTCTGACAGTAGCAGTACTTTTTCTGACAGTAGCAGTACTTTTACTGACAGTAGCAGTACTTTATCGTCGAAAACCCTCTCAAATTTTCCTTTTTACTGCTCCTAGCAGTACTTTTACTGCTCCTAGCAGTACTGCTACTGACAGTAGCAGTACTTTTTCTGACAGTAGCAGTACTTTTTCTGACAGTAGCAGTACTTTTACTGACAGTAGCAGTACTTTTACTGACAGTAGCAGTACTTTTTCTGACAGTAGCAATGGTCGAGGTCGAACCGACCGACGAGGCAATTTACCTAATTGAAATTAACGAGCTTGTTAAAGACTTCCTCAGGCAGAATGTAAAAGGCAAGCTTGTTAACTGTTGGATAACGGGAAGGGCTGCCTTGAATCTCGAGACTTCGACTGGAATTCCAATTCAAATACCAGACGGGACAGCCTACGACGACATAAAGCAAGCAAAGAAAGAAGCTCTTCTCAAGTTCTTTGCCAAGCGTCCTTGGATACTACTTCCAAACAGAGAGAACCCTTTCCCAAGAATGAGCCAAATTCTCAAGGGTCTCCTTCACTTCTCGGGTCAGCCGTTCTACATAACCTGTGAAGGCGACATCCAACCAGTTCAGTAAACATCTCATTTTCACTTCACTTTTTTTATGTTTTTACTCACACTCGTACTCAACAGGTTTGTGTACAACTATTTCAACTGTGAACCTTGTATTGACCGGTCTTCCTGTAAATGCAAGTTTGGTCAATACACAGTTTATGGTGGCAAGAAGGACAGTGGGGAATGTTATTCTGACATCTGTTGTTGCGCTCGAGAGAGATTTGAAATTTCAGAGCCACCTCCCCCAAGAACTCCAACACCAACACTCAAGTTACCAGAGTCTCATGTGAAGAAGAAGCCTTCTGGTAAGTTTCTTATAGCCATATACATGGCACGCTTTGAGTAAAAACATTTTTTTCATTTTTTGAATGAAGCAAGTTAAATTCGTCCCACACCAAACTCAATGGACCGATGAAGAGTTTCAAGCCATGCTTGAAGACGTTGAGAACGACATAGACGGCGAACTTGAAGGAGCTCAAACCACAATTGCAACCAAAATTGCACAAGTCAAGGAACAGATAGCTCCACTTAAAGCTACCAAAGCTACTCTTGACCTCATGGATACTTACCGTTTAGAAGTAAAGAGTGGAATAAGACAATTAAAATTAAAACTTCTAAACTACGAAGCTATACTCCAAAAGTTAGCAGAAATGAGAAGACTTTACCAGAGCTACTTACATGTAAGGGACTTACCTTCAAGCAGTCCGACCAAAGATGAATTTTCTGACATTGTCCCAATTTTGTCCGAAAGTCAGCTCAGATGTTTCGAACTGCTCCCAACATATCCAGAATATGAACGTTTGCCTGAACTCTTCCGCAATCTCAAAAAACGTTTTTTGGTTCTCATGTTCGAAACTTTTATCGGAAGAGACAACAAACGTTCAGAAGAAGAACAAGATATTATTTTAAACTTGTTGTATGACTTAACCGTCATAACAAGCTTTTTGAAGTAAAACCGTCATTCTCAAACCACTTCATTTTTTCGATGTCCGAACAAGCACCGAAGCCGAACACAATAGCAGATGTCCTTTCAAGGTTGCCAGACAAGCGCCCAGTTCAAATTCAAATTATGCATTTGAAAGCTCATCTGACAAACACCGTTAAGACTCTCCAAAGTAGTCTTATGGAAGAGATGAAGGGACTTAAAGGTGAGTTCCTCATGAACCAAGCTTCCAATGAGAAATGCCTGAATGATTTGACGGAAACCTTGCGCATTTACGCGAGAGAGAACCGAGACCTTGCCAGACTCATCTACCGTTTCTTCGAAGAGATAGACGCCATCTGGAAGGTACTCGGAAAGGACAGAACATGCAACACCGTAATTCGTGAACACAGAATTGAAGAAGGAATTGTCGAGGAAGAAGAGAAACACGAAGAAGAGAAACACGAAGAAGAGGAAGAAGAGAAACACGAAGAAGAGGAAGTTTGGGCAACCCTTGTTGCCGATGACACTTACGAAATTTCCCAACCCTACCCATACCAAATCCGCAACAGGGAGACCGGCAAGGTTCTTACCCCAGTCCTCAACAACTTGGGACACTTGAACCTTAACCTTCGGAATCGCGGTTCAATTTCCATGGGCAAGCTTGTCGCAATTCAATGGGTTCCAAATCCAGGCAAGAAGACGAAGGTCAGACACATTGACGGTGACAAGCTCAACAACCGTAAGGAGAACCTCGAGTGGTTCTAAGAGTAAAAAAATTTTATTTTAGGGGGAAACCCCAAGTAAATTTAGGTGTTTATTTGGATAAGTATGTGAAATTAAGGTCAATTTGCAAAATTAGTTCCCGACCTTTGAATTGGACTCTTTCGTCATCCCAGTTGCGTAGGAGGTCGTCCCAGAGGAGTTGGTAGATTTGCCAATCCAAGGACGATTTGTCCTCCCAGGCATTGAGGATGTACTGCTCGTAGAGTCTCATGACCTCTCCCTTGCACCAGACACCCTCTTCCTTGGAACGTAAGGCTTCTTCGAAGTGCTCGAATGCGATTGGCTGCTTGACCATCCGAAATGACACTTTTTGTACGTTTGGTCAATGTTCGTGTCTCGTGCCATAGTCGACGAAAATACAGACAAACAGGTTATATATGAGTTTGAGACCAAGAATGGTGTAACTCGACCTGTCCGATTCAAAGACTCCGAGGGCGACCATGAAATTAAACGGAAATTACCTAGGAAGGAATATAAAATGGACTGGTTGCCACCACCTCCACCTCCACCACCTTTACCTGTTCCTCAAGTAAATAAGCCTTTCCCGTTCCCAAGAATTCCCACATTTTAATTCAAATTCGAATAAAAATTTTTTATTTCATGCAATGTTTTATTTCTGTGCCGTCTTCAAGTATGCCCCAGTACTTACGCTTGGAGAGGACATGAACTTCGGTGAAAATTTTGTCCAATTTGAATTGACCCATCTTCTCACCGACCATACCCATTTCAATGAGTTTGTTGTATCCTTCTTCGTTCGTCATGAGTGCGTCAATGTTCTCATAGTAAACCTTCACTTTGGATTTGACTTCCGAGAAGAATTTGTTGTAGTTGTCAAGGACTGCTTTTGCGAACTGAGGGTAAGACCAATGTTCGACAATAGGTTTTAATGTGGTTACTAAGCCACTTTGACCTTGAGTGAATTCGTACTTCAAAACAAAAGGAGAAAACCTTTCAACAAAGTTGTCGACCTTCTCATAATGTTTACTCTTCATCTCTTGAGGTTTTTTAATGGAATATCCCCATGTCGAATTCATAAGCAATTTGAGTGTCATTGCAAGTTTGGGGTTTGAAGCTTTCCTAATATCATACAGTTGTTGTATGACTTTTCCAACTGTATAGTTCCTTCCCGGGAACTCACCATCTTCGTTTGGAATTCCAGTCGGAATATATTGGACAAACCTCATGTACGCAGCGTTAAGGTCGACATAGTATATCTTTTCGTTTGAGTCGAACTTGTCGCAACCAATTGGTCCAGTTTGTGGAAATTCAAGTGAGTCTCTTATCTTCTGAGAAACTTCTCCTGTTATCTCATAAACATCGTCGAAGCAACCTGTTTCATATAAAACCTTCTGACCTAACTCAGATGCTCTCCAATACAATTTGACGTCAATTGGATGTCTCAATGGAAGTTTATTTATAGCATCTTGAAGTTCTTGCAACCTCATTGGAAGTTCTTCTGGTTCAGGTTGGTATCCGAACAATCCAACTCCTTGTGGAATTGTGTACTTCTTTTGTACTAGAACTTTGTCTGGAACAACTTTTGGTCTTGCTAACAGTGAAAAGTTTGTTTCGTCTTTTGGTACAAAAGTTTCTGTAAGCTTGTCATCTGGAATTGGTTCCAACAAACCTTTCTCGAAAAGAATGTTTACAGCTCTGACAATGTTGCACTTGCCTTTTCCGAACAATGGGTTTGTAAGACTTTCGTTCAACATGAAGTGGTTGTGGACAATTACAATCTTCAACCATGGTAAGTCTTTGTCAACAACATAGTCGTCATGTGAAGAACCTTTAGCTGTAGGTATGTTGACTCGGATATTGACATTTGCCAACGGTGCAATTTTTGCCAATTGACCTCTGAGCATGTACCTCGTCTTCACACATGACTCAAGATACTTCATCTTCTCATCTGTAACAAGACCAGAGTTCCTGAGACATGTAAGAATACAAGGTTCATTGACAATTGTTTCAATTGAATTGTAAATTCCATACCTTGTCAAGTCAATGTCAGACTTATTTATGAAGGGGAAGTATCCAGCATGTTGTCTGACTGCTTGAGGGTTAGGTTCATGCCATTCGAACTTGACACTTGCAATTCCTTCAATTGCATTCAAAATGTCTGAGTCTGAGTCAACCATTTGTTCTCTCTTTGTAGTCTTGAAAGCGTCAAGAAGTTTTGCGGCTGTTTGTTCATTGCCATGTGCATAGTAAATGTGACCATCCAAATCTGTTATGGTCAATCTGAGATTGTGTCCTTTCTTATTTCCGTCTTGAATTGCAGCAAGTACTCCCATGAAGCCTTCTTTGTTCTTTCCTTCGTCAAAGTTTACTGTAAAGGTTCGACCAGATGTAATTTGACTTCTAACTTCACGATACTTCTCATATGCATATCTTGTTCTTTCCATGGGAGCATGACCATCCTCTGCACTACCTTTTTTCCTTCTCAAAGGATGCAATTGTTCGTCATGTTTCCAGTAGAATCTGGCAAAGCCGTCGTGTCCTTCAACTTGAGGTTCACTAACATCGAAAGGCATGTCCATAAGACGTTCTTCTTCTAACCTCTCTAGTCTGTTTGGATAATTGGCACGTGCTGTTTCCAAATCCATTTCGTAGCGAAGACCAGCCAGTTTGTCATAGACTTTTATGGGTCTTCCCTTCCTATATTTAAAATTCTTCGAAACTCTCCAACCATATCTTTGCAACTCTGCTTTTATTCTAGCAGACTTTCTATCCATTCTATATGGGGGCATTTTTATAAAAATAAAAAAATATTTTTTTTCTTTACTTTACATAACCACCTGCTGCCATAAGTCTTTGACGCCAACCCATACCAGCTAATGAAGGTTGACTTGGTTTAGTTTGGAAACTAAACTTTGGTTTTGGTTTATCTTCAGTTTTTGGTTTTTCTTCTTCTATCGGTTTTTCGTCACTTTTCGGTTCCTCTGACTTTACCCCACCTGCAGGAACAGTTGTGTCGTCAACATCTTCATAAATATCATATGCCATTTGTTTTTGTTTTCCTTTCAACTTTTTGTGTTTGTTGTAAAGTTTAGAATATTTCGACTCTAAGTCAATGAGATGTTCTATAATGAACTGTTGGTCAGTGAAGTAAACTTTTCCATCTGTTGTCTCGAAAGCTCCTTCAGACTTCAATATTTTATTTGTGAGAGTCTGTTTCTTTTTTGAGATACTAGCCGTTCCATTTCTATGAAAAGTGACTTTGTAGTTAGGGTTTGTATTTCCAGACCTGGCACTTTCTATTATTGAATTTTTCTCTTCATCTGTAAGTTCTTTGACAGGTTTTGACAATGGTTCTGAACTTTTTGTTTGTGGTGTCAAATCTACCGTTTCAACTTCTTCGGTCATTTCATCTCAGTAAAAAATTTTAGTTTGGTTTGTTTTCAACTGGTTGTTTAGGTTTTTTAAGTCGGTCTAAAACTTCCTGAGGTATAGGAAGAACTTGACAAACACGTGGTGTAACTGCTGGAAGTCGACAAATCCATCTTGAACCCATTTGTCTCAATGCTGTATTGTTCATTTCATCTCGGTAAAAAATTTTACATTCCCCACGTTTGAGGCGGTTGAGGTTGGTTATTGTTTACCCACTGTTGTGCATGGTTATATCCTCTGTTAAAGAATCTTTCACCTTGGTCCATATAGTGTCCTGCTTGGTTATAGTAGTCATTTGCTTTGTTATAATAGTTTCCTGCTTGTCTTCCTACATTGTCCATCCATCCTTGAACTTTTCCTCTTGTTTCAGGATTTGGAATAAGATTTGCTGCATCTCGTGCTACATCCCAACCTTTCTGTACAGTTTGTATAATAGGTTGTGCTTTCTCTTTCAGTATACCTAATGTACTCAAAATCTTCCTTCCAATTCCAAATGCACCTCTGGCTATTGTTCCCACTGCGGGTAAAAATCTGGATGCAACTCCTGCTAATGCGCCAAATAAACCCATTTCTTATAGGGTAAAAAATGACGAATCCGAACAAGGACCCCTATGTTTCTAAAGCGACAAAAAAAGCACTCATGATAAAAATCTTTAGTTCAACACCAAATGCTTGGTTTATGGATATCTTGGAAAACATTCCGAGGTATAGAGAAGATGGACCACCATACTGGCTAATATTTATCGGTCAAAACACAAGATACTGTGAAGCCATACCATTACAGTCCAAAAATATTTTAGATATCTTAGCAGCTTTGACAATATTCGTTGACAAATACCATCCAACAAAACTGACATCTGACTGTGAAAGTTCTTTCAAATCAGATGATGTAAAAAACTATCTGCGTTCAAAAAATGTAAACCAATATTTCATTGTCGACCAAAACCATTCTGCTCTTGGTGTCATTGACGGTTGTATAAAAATGTTAAGAGACTTAAACCAACCACAAGGTGGTGAAGCAAATGAAATGTCATATGACGACAAATATAGACACTTCTCCATGGCAAAGATGAGACAAGTTTTAAATATTTACAATAGCCGTAAACAAAAAGGTTTGGGAAACCACTCCCCCGAAGAAATGAAAAACAACCCTGACTTAGAGAAAGACTATATATTTAACAATTTAGTCAAAAGAGACAAACAAGAAAGAATGCCGGGCTTCAAACTTCAGAAAGGTGACAAAGTAAAAATAGAAATACCTAAACGCGACCCATATGAAAATACTATTGACTATGACAACAATGGGAACTCGACAGGTACTCGCATTCGTGTTCGTAAAAATAGAAGAAAGTATACAAGAGAATATTATGAAGTTTTAGGCAAACATGGCAAAATGTACAGACTGCAAGCAGAAGATAAAACGACTATTGTCAGACCTCGTTTCAAACTTGTCAAAGTTCAAGGTGGTATACTTTCAAAGACAGTTCCTAACAAATATAAGACAACTCCTGACGAATATGCTAAAGAAGTTGAAAATGACGACTAAGCATTTCTATACCATGCGTAAACTGTCATGTAAGGTGGCATGTAGTCTTTACTTTGTCCCGTTGTTTGCGTATATCCCGAAACGCGATGTGTATGGTTTCCATCTCCCTGAGTGTCACCCCAGAAACAATTTATAGCAAACTGAACGTCGTCTTTAACATCATATCCTTTACCTTTTTTCATTGCTGACCAATCCCAAAATTTATGCTTATGCCAACCTGCTTGAGATGTACTTAAATCTATGTAGTGACTGTGCGCAGGTAAATTTTCACCTGAAATCGTTTTACTTCCTCCTGTTTCCTTTGAAGAGTTTGCACAATACAAAAACCTGTCAACTATTTGAGTCCAAGTTCCAAAACCCAGAACTGTTTCTGGTCTGGTAGAGTTCATTGACGTATAAATAGAGCCTATAGGATATAATGTTTGAAGCATTTCTGTCTTTAACGTTTGAAGCTCTGTTTTGTCAGCTTTTTTATCTAACTCATCGTTAACATATGTTTTGTCAGCTTTTTTATCTAACTCATCGTTAACATATGTTTTGTCAGCTTTGTTGTCATATAAATCTTGAGCAGTGAATTTAACTTTGTTTTCATCCTCCATGACATAGACATTTCTACATCTAGTGTATTTCATCGTCGTTATGTCATCCTCCGATGTTAAACCTTGTGGAAAGTTAGGAGGTTTCCAATACAATGCATCCCCACCAGTTCCATCAGGTTCTTCAACCGTTCCTGCAATATTTTCTATACCAACAGTTGCGAAGAAATCGTGTGTATGAGTCTTTTTAGAATATTCTTTGTCAGCTCTTGTCACTTCACTTGACATTTTATTGTCAACATATGTTTTATCCGCTTTGTCATCTAACATTGCTGGTAGTTCATCTACGTCATAGATGTTATGTGTATGGTGTTTTTGTGGGTATGTTCTATCTGTCCATGCGAGAATATAGTCTCTTGTTGCATCTACATACTCTTTGTCAGCTTTGTTGTCAATATCTGCCTTCAAAAGAAGTTCATCTATAGGTTTCTCGTTTAAAGTTCCTTTTGTTGGATTTATACAGACAGTATGGTTCTTATTGTCTTGAAACAGAAACTCATCTGTCATTGGGTTTAATGTCAGTTTTAAGTTTCCTTCTTTCAATGACTCAGATATCTTAGAATAGTTTGAAAAGTTTGTTGTGTTCTTATTTAGAGCTTGCACAATGAGTTGTCGGTTGTGTTGTATTTCTCTCATGGAAGCAATATCTTTCGACATTTTTATTGTAGATAAAATATGCTTCCAATAGAAAAAGAAAATTCAAGAGTTGCTACAACTAAACCATTAGATGAACTTTTTACTAATGTCGGTCAAAAGTTTGAGACAGAGACCGTAAAGCATGAAGGCTATCGTTTTGACTACCCATTAAGATGGTTAAGAGACCCATCTGTCACAAAAGCTATTGGCTTTCGTAGAATGAAGTTTGTGTCTGTAGAAGATAAAAGTTTTCCATTTATTGTAAGGTTTCATATAGATTATATATCTGAAGGGAAACGAAAAATGTGGGAAGAAATTGAGCTAATACAAGTTGACCTTTCATCTTCTCTACAGACTGCGTTAAAAAATATAGAAGATAAAATAAATTCATGTTATGCAAAATATGCTGATGAATATGCAAATACCGAGAGCACACTTTATGTGAGAATTGTATATGACAAACAAAATTCACAAGTGTCATTTCAAATCTACGAAGACAATCCAAAGAAAGACGAACAAATATATACAGAATTCACTGCAATGTCATGGTATTATTTGCAAAGAATGTTAAATCAGAAAGTCGAACTTCCTTTAGCAAATATTTACAGTCGATATGCAAGAGATGAACCATATTTATTTAAAGATGTTTTCGACCCAGCTGCTATTATTGTTCATGCTTCATTTTCTGGCGCCCAAAACTCTTTCTTATGCTTGGCAAATGACTTTTACGAAAAACCTACAAAGTTATACGAACCACCAAGTGGAAGTATTTCAGACTTTCAAGTATGGTTTACTACAGATGGAAGAAAAAGAATAATTCCATTATACCATGCGTTTTACTTAGAACTTAGTTTCATATACAACTACTATCGAACGGTAAAAATATAATTTTTTAATACGGTTGAGGTGTTGGATTTGGTTGCCAACTAGACTGTGGTGCAGGTTCAGGCTGTTGTATAACAGGAGCTTGCTCTTCTGGTTCAGGGTCTTTAGGTATAATACCAACAAACTGACCTACTCTTTTACCAATATTTTTGACTCCGTTCCAAATTCCTCTTCCGACAGATTTTATTCCATTCCATATACCTCTTCCAACTCTTCTGAAGAAGTTTCCAATACTACTGAAGAAACCCATTTTACTATATGTAAAAATCTAATGTCCGCCTAGTCTCTTACGTTTCCTGTTGAGTTCCATAGCATTCTTTAACTGGAGCTCATACATTCTGTTTCTCCTCTGGTAGAAAACATATTCTGGGTCAACTCCTGTGTTCGCGTCATCTGCATAAAGTTGTTTATATCCCACTTCAGGGTTTGTATAAAACTCTTTCCATCTCATATTTGCATACCATGGTGGCAAACCTAACGCAGCGTCATTTGACATGGCAGTTTGCATTTGTACATCTGTTGGCACTTGACCATAGTTTGCCATTGCAGTTTGTATTCTAACTTCATTTGGAATATTCTCTGGGTTTGGTTGTCCAGGTTGCTGTGCATTCGCTAAGTTCTGTGCGTCCATTTAATATTAGATAAAAATATCTCTTACGAGTACATATGCTGAACATTTGCAGGCATTGGTTCATCTTCATATTCTCTGTACTTTTCTGCCACGTCAAATAAATAAATGACACAATGGAAAAAACCTAAAACAAGTAGTCCTATTTCAAACCACATTTACTTACTAATAAAATTTCTTTGTTATGACACTTTCTCCAGTTTATAGGACCTCTCTCATATTCTATCTTGTCATATATAAACTCATAGTCATGTATGTCCTCTAACCATCTCATAACGGTTTCCAAACCACTTTTATCGGATGTAAAGTAAAAGCATGGATGGTTATGTAAAACGTCTAAAGTTTCTAAAGAGTCTCTCAAAGTCCAGTCTACTTGGTATTGAAAATCCCATGTGTTATAGAACGGCGGGTCCACTATAAAGAAAACATTTTCCTTGTCTTTATATTTTTCATACAAATCTGTCCAATGACATCTCACAAACTCTATACCCTCAATATATTTTTCTATGTCCTCTTTGAAAACATTTGTATAGTTAAGATATAAAACTTTTGACATAAGTGTTTCAATGTCATGAACTCTTATAGCACCACTATATAATAGTCTAGCAGATATACTATCCCAGTCTATATATTCTGCTTTTTTCAAAACCTCTCTCACAATATTTTTCTTATCTAATGGTATACGTTCCATCTTACCTATAGGTATCTTTTCTTTTAACTCTTTCAATATATTGTTTGTGTCTGGTATATGTTTGAGACGGTCCATATAGTTGTCGAAGTCATTGCATATAATCTTTGAGTCAGGAAATATTGTATGGCACAAATGGGATATATAGAAACTTCCACCGAACAAATCTACAAATGTTAGACCATTCGGTAGTTTCTTAAGTTCTCTCAATATAATATCTTTACATTTACTCTTATTTCCAAAGAACGGTAACGGTGGTTTTGTAAAATTCATTTATATATATATAAAAATGTTTTTTCCCTGAAAAGTGACAGAAAAGTGACAAAACATGAAAACATATATAATTTGTGAAAAGCGACACATTATATAATGTTTTCGACCCAGAAGAAGGCTTCTTCCCAGAAGCAATGGAGGAAGAAGAAGAGTCCTCTGAATTCACACCAGAAGACTAACAATTTTCCGAATAAAAACTTCATTTATACTAAACATCTTCGGGGCTAGAGGGCACGAAGTGCCTGGAAGCCCCACTACCTTTTTTTTTTTTTTTTTTTTTTTTTTATATTCATTCAGCTTGTCTTGATATGTCATATTTTCGCAATTTTTTGTGAGAATTCAAAATAAATATGTATAGCGAGGTTAATGAAATTAAGGCTGTGATTACAACCCATTCATTATGTGCTGCTTCTTCTAAACTATATATTATACTGCTGATTATTCCCCAAGTAGCATTTGATTTTAATTTTTATGCGAATTTCAAAATTTGATGTTTTAACATCAGTAATTGAACACCTTGAATTCTAAAAATCATATTGTAATTCAAATTTTATTAATTGATCTTTCAATTGCGCGTTTAGAAAAAGGATGATATAATATTTTAAAAATATTATGTATGTATAATATGAATTTGAATAAAACTGTTCTTAGTATTAATGACCTTTGGTTCGCATTGTAAAATACGAAAAAAAATAAGTTATTTTTATTTGTTTACATATTGTGCCAATTTTCATTATCATACATGCTGTCTAAGCACTCATAGTAATTAAAGTAGTTGGATATGATGTTGACATATAATTGTAATTTATAAATTTATTTGATATGCAGCCTTAGTTAAAATTTTAATAAAATACAACTGAAACAAGCTACAAAATAACCAATGATATGCATATTTTAGCACGTCTAAAAAAAGTCAAATGTGAATTGATATATTCGATTTCTTTTGCAAAAATTTTAGTAAAATTGTTGCATGCTAAGTTCGGTCAAAATGTAAACCTCTCAATTTTATCGTCGGGGGAAGTAACTCAATTCCTTCAAAATTATTCTTTAAATATTGAATTTAAAGTTATTTAATTTGGATTATAAATAAATAGGCTAATACAATATTTAAAAATGAGAAAAAATAACTTTTCAAAGAACTTTTCATAATCTCAAAGAAAATTTTTTATTCAATAATTATATAAATTAATTAACATTCATAATGAAATTGGATTTTTTTTATAAAAAATTGGTCCTACTTAACTTTTTGAGAGAATTTGGCTTTCTCGTAAACGAAAAAGGGATTTGACGGAGTCAAATCCCCGCTCACAAAAAGTGGACTTTACATGTCAAATTTTATATGCATGTAATGTCCACTTTTATGAGTTTTAGGAAGGAATTGGAAGCCATGAGTTACTGACATTGCATCAGTATCTCATAGCCTCCAATTCCTTCAAAAAATGGGAGAAACTTTGTCCGAATAGTTTAACATTCGGACAAAGTTTCTCCCATTTTAAGAAGGAATTGGAGGGTAAGAGATATACCATATGAATGTATATCTCTTACCCTCCAATTCCTTCTAGAAAGTGTCCAAACTTTGGGTTAATTGCAAAGTATTAACCCAAAGTTTGGACACTTTCAAGTGGAGATGGAAGGCTTTGGGGTATATATTAATACAATATACCTCAAAGCCTTCCATCTCCACTACAAATGTGAGAAACTTTGTCCGAATAGTTTAACATTCGGACAAAGTTTCTCCCATCTTTCAATGTAATTGCTACCTGTGAGGTACTGACTTGAAGTCAGTGCTTCACAGGTAGCAATATCCAAAAATTTAAAAACATTTTATCAGTTCGTTAGAGAACTAGAGCCTCCTAGGTACTGAACCAGAATCAGTGCCTAGGGGACTCTAGTGATCTATATAAATCTGAGAAACTTTGAGGAAATTGTTCGACATTTCCTCAAAGTTTCTCAGCAATTTAGCGAGGAATGTTCGTTATCGTGTAGATATTTATAATATATACATGATAACAAACATTCCCCGCTAAAAGATGTAAAATCTTATAAGAAATAATTGCAAAAGAATAACAAATTGCAACAAATTTTATATGAAACTGAACCTTATGAGGTAGTGATTCAAGATCACCGCCTCATAAGATTCAGTTTCAATCTCAAGTATCTCAAAAGTAAGGCTCTATTTTTTGCCATGTAAAGTGTCACTTTTCTGTCCAAATGATAAGTTATTCAGAGAAAGTTTCCCAGCTATCAAGAGGGAATTGTTCCTTATGAGGTATATATTCATACTGTATACCTCATAAGGAACAATTCCCTCCTTAAAACGAGAAAACTTGTTCGAAATTGTTTATCATTTCGAACAAGTTTTCTCGTTTTTAATAAGAAACTAAAGGCTATGAGGCACTGATTATATATTAGTGCCTCACAGCCTTTAGTTTCTAATAGATAGCTGGGAAACTTTCTCCAAATGATAAGTTATTCAGAGAAAGTTTCCCAGCTATCAAGAGGGAATTGTTCCTTATGAGGTATATAGTTATAATGTATACCTCATAAGGAACAATTCCCTCATTAAAATCGTAGATATTTTTTACTTATTACTCATGCTTTCAAAATCACAATCCTCTGAAAAGTTATTTTTTATTAAGAATTTAGAATTTTGATAAATACCTTTTTTCAATTTGATATAATACTTATATATTTTCAAAAAGACATTTTGAAAAGATATCTCAAAAGTTCTCTGAAAACCTATTTTTGATTAATTTTGAGAAATATCCGTATTAAATTAATCACTAAATTCATTCAACACTACTTTAATTTTTAAATTCAAAAAATTATATGTGCTTCTTAAAATGTCTCACAAAAATTTTATTATAAAATTATATACAATATTAAAAATCCCACAACATTTTTTACTTTACATAATCGTACTTCCTCGACGATTAATTTCCCCTCAATTCCTATCGTTGACCGAACTTAGCATGCAACAAAATATTAATCTTTGATATATTTTCTGGATGTGTCAAAAAATTCTGATAACTCCTTTTGAACGATATCCTAGTTGAGTTAGAAGGGAAGTGAAAAATTGAATGCATCATCTCACCTCAGAGACCCTAGTCAAATATTTGAATCCAGTCAGGTGATGTGATATCGATCCAACCAAAAAATCTAGTGTATGTCAAATCTAGGTCCTCATAGGGAAGGATTTCGTGGATTACCAAATGCAGATAATGTGTATGCATATACAACAACAGGCGATCAAAGCAAACTTTTCGAACCATCTGTAATTTCATTTAATAAAGTTTCTGGCAATAATCCAACAGTTGTCATCAATCCTGATTCAAAGTTCCAAACGATCGATGGATTTGGAGCTGCTATTACAGGTTCCACAGCATATAACTTAAAACAAATGACTCAAGAAGCAAGAGACAAGTTCCTTAAAGATACATTCGATCCAGACACAGGTATGGGCTATTCTTTCATTCGTATTTCTATCGGTTGCTCAGACTTTTCTCTCAAAGATTTCACAGAATGTGATAAAGAAGGAATTGACAATTTCGCTCTTGATTCCGAAGATACAGACATTATCATCCCAATTATACAGCAAATTCTCAAGATTAACCCTTCTGTTAAAATTATTGCAACTCCTTGGACTCCTCCTATTTGGATGAAGGTTTCAGACCTGTCCACCCTTAGAAGACATAATTCCTTCATTTCTGGTTACCTTGATCCAAGACTTTACCAAGAATATGCTACTTATTTTGTCAAATACGTCCAAGCAATGGCCAAATACAATTTTCACATCTACGCCATCACATTACAAAATGAGCCACTTAATAAAGGCAACTCCGCTTCTTGTTTCATGGGCTACGAGCAACAAAGAGATTTTATTAAGACAGCTCTTGGTCCACAGTTCGCTGCAAACAACATTTCGACAAAGATCATTATTTACGACCATAATTATAACTACGATAACATTGTTACTCAAGAACATTATCCAGTTCACATTTACGATGACGCCGAGGCTAATAAATACATTGATGGTGCTGCTTATCATGCTTATGGTGGTTCCAACACAGAAATGGACTATGTTACTAGCAAATATCCTAATAAGAATTTATATTTCACAGAAATAGCAATTGGCGAATGGAATTACAATTTCCAGGGCGACTTGATGTGGAATACACGTGAAATCGGTATTGGAACCCTTAATAAAGGCAGCAAATGCGCAATCATGTGGAATTTGCTTCTTGATACAAACCATGGACCATATCGTCCAAATGGATGCTCCAATTCCTATGGAGCAGTTGATGTTAAAGTTCCTGGTTACTCAGAGCTCATTTACAGGTCTCATTACTATGATATGGCACATCTTTCCAAAGTTATTAAGCCAGACTCCATCAGACTTGGAACAACAGTCTCAGGAAGCTCAAATGTCTATGCTACATCAGCTATTAACACAAACGGATTCATTGGCGCTGTTTTACTTAATGATCAGGACCAAGACGTCACTGTTTCAGTCCACTGTGGCTCCCATGCATTTGATGTCCCGATGTCAAAGAGATCTGTTGTTTCCGTCATTTGGAAACAATAAATGAAAAAAAATTAATTTTAAATTTTAATAAATAGTTTCAAATATATATTGAATTTCCTCATATTTCTTCTGAACATAATTATCTAACACAATATATTATGATTTGAAACATTATACACAATCAGAATTTTGATTTTCTCTTTTTTAAATCTATAACCTTGTACAATGAAAAAAAAAAAAAAAAAAAAAAAAGGTAGTGGGGCTTCCAGGGGCTGCGCCCCTTCTAGCCCCTAAGAAATTTTGCCCAAGACCCAAGAGGAGGACCGAACCCCAGCCGACCAGCCGGTGACTTTTTTGTAGAGCACTCAAAATAGTATAACTTTGTCCGGACAAGTAAGGGTCTATCGTCGCTACAGGAAAAGTTACGGGCGTTCCAAGGAAGTATACTTTGAGAAGACTTTCCCCCTTATAGAATGAGATAGGACGGTTATTTTACAAAACTGACAACACTTTGACCGAGTAGTTTTTTGTGCTGAACAAAAAGTGTCATATAAACATCTGTCAAAAACTGTTTTTTACTTCACTTAAAATGCCACGTAAGCTACGTAAGAATATACGTAAGAGGAAGGGAGCATTGAAACATCCAATAGTAAAACTGACACCACAACAACAGTTGCAACAACAAATGATGAATGACCCCACTATGTTGCAACAAATGTCAAGCAACCCTATGCTTTTAAACCGAGTTATTGGTGCACAGAGTGGAGGTTTAAGAGCGGCACTTTTAGCGAAAATGGCAGGCTATGGTGGAGCTGCAGACGGAACAGCTTATAACCCTCAAAGTCAAATGAATTTGAGTTCACTCAAAAATCAAATAACAGATGTCAAAAAGTCAAACATAGACATACAGAAACAAATAAGTGAAAACGAAAAGAAACTAGAATATGACAGACACACAAAGAAACTCAATGAGTTAAACGTAGAGAAAAAGAAGAAAGAAGAACAACTGAAAGAACTAAGTACAGAGGAATATGCGAAAAAAGTGTCAGAAAAAGCAGCAGAAGTAGCAAAAATGGAACAAGATGTTATAAATTTGAAAAACCATACTACTCAATATAAAGTACTGAAAGATGAAGAAATAAAACAAAAAGCCCTGAAGACATATATGGATAGCGATGAGTATAAAAAAGAAGTTGAAGCAAATGTAAAGGCAGAAAAACTTTTACAGTTGCAAAACCAAACCGTACAGTATGAAAACTTAGCACAAGAAAGTAAAAATAACGACGCAGCCATGCAAAAGGCAATGAAAAGCGCAGAATATATAAAAGCTAATAATGACTGGTTAGATGCCCAAGCCAACGCCAAAGCAGCCCAACTTATAGGGTCAATAAGGACAAAAATACAAGCGGATGAAGACAGTTCAAATGAAGCTTTAATGAATGCTGACTTTAAGAACGCCTTCGAAGCTCTTCATAGTAAGGTGAAACTAGTGAACGACTTCTCATCTGGAAAGAAACTGAAGTCTGAAGGTTTCGACAAAGAGTTAAGAGAAGTAGCACAAAATATGACGAAAATAACAGATGCAGCAACGAGACAAGCAGTTCAAAGTGCCTATGACGCCGTTAGAGCAACTGTTGTGGAAAGTCAAGAAAAAGAGTTACAACAGACCAAAACAGACCTAGTAAATGCTTTCTTAAAAACGAAAAGTCAGGTAGGACATTATGCTGCAGATGGAACATATGTGCCAGCTGGTGGAACTTATATACCAGCTGGTGGAACTTATATACTAGCTAGTGGAACTTATATACCACCAAACCCTCCAAGAGAAGCACCTGCACCAGGACTACCTAAAACATTTACATCGTCACATGGACACAGACACAGGCATGCACCAAAACCAACACAACAACCAACAGTTCAAAATCCAGCACAACAACCAACAGTTCAAAACACTGCACCACAACCAACAGTTCAAAACACTGCACCACAACCAACAGTTCAAAACACTGCACCACAACCAACAGTTCAAAACACTGCACAACAACAACCACAAACAGAGCAAGGACATAAAAGAAGTAGAGAACAAGGAAACCAAGAATTCTTAAAAATGCTTAAGGAAAATTATGGTTACCCAGATACTCTTGACTTTAGTGACAGATATAAAGAAGCTATTAGAAAGTTCAAGGAAGGAAATACTGACCCGAACCTATTTAGCTTTATGGTTCAGCACCAAATGGGATATAATTTCAAACCTGGAAAATACAAGCTCGCTAAGGGATATGATTTAATAGCATATCATCCAAATGACATGACTGAATTTACTCCGAGATATTTGGTGTCAGAGCTAAATGATAATTCAACTCTCTTCATGAAACGCGTAAAAAATAGAGACGGAACGAAAGAAGAAAGGTTTATGAGTCCGGATGACTTAGATAGGGAACTTTTTAAAAACGGTCTCGGAATATATGAAATGCCAGCAGATGAGGTACAAGAAACTCCACAGGAAGAAGTTCAGATACAACCAGACATGGAAGAAATAGTTCAGCAACAACAGCTAGAAGAGCCTGAAGGAAACAAACAAGTCCCTCCTTTGGAAACTAACTTCACAGAACTAGATGAAGATTTGGAACAGCCGAAAAATCTTGACCCTCAACAAGTGTATGCGGGGAATATGGAATCTTTCCAAGAGTCTAAGAAAAATTCGGCTGACATAGTAGAAGAATATCGAAAAATGTTCGCCGACATACAAAAGACTCCAACATCAGATGAAAATATTCAGCATAGAATGGAAGAACTGAAAGAAAGTGTACGCAAATACAACAATCCTTTTTACTTACGACCATATAACGTTCAATCTTTGGCTGAACTCGGTGAAAATAAAAGGTTAAATTTCAACAAAACATATAGAAATGAAACATTGTTTAAAGTTCATTCAGAACCTAACCAATATGGAAACAAACCTACTTTTGTTTCTGCAGACTATGGAACTACAATGAGATGGGGTCATAAAGCTAATCCGGATAGGTGGTTCATAAACTTACAACCACAATTCCAAGAAGTTGTAGACGCAATGGAAGTGAATGGTGAACCAGATATAGCTGGTATTTTCAGCGCGGCTTTAATGCCATTGAAAGATATGAAAGATGCAGATATTTTGAACCAGTATGAAATGAACATGGCTGATGGAAATATAACACCTGACGTTCTAAAACATTTATCTCAAAGAACTACACAGAACCATAGAGATGGTATATTTGGTGAAGAGTTTAGAAAGAAAGTTAGGGAGAGAGAAGGAAGAGAACCTATTGTACATGACCTTGCAAACGAAAGTTTACAAAATGTCATAAAAACTTACTTTGCAGACAATGAACCGAGAAGGGATGAATATTTAAGAAAACTCAAATGGACAGTACCAAATGAAATGTTAGTATTGAAAAACATGTTCCTTGACAAAATAAAACCAACTACAGAAATAAATGACGCAAGACTGAAACATTGGGTAAAAGCTTTCCCATTCACAAAAGATATTATTGTAACATGGAAAGAAAACCAGAATGGCTACAAAAACATATATTTGGAAACGAGCATATTCCATATGGACAAGCTATATTTGAAGAGCTTGAACCGGAAACTCAGGAAAGAGTCATGCAAACAATACGCGAAGACTCAAATACAAACTATGACAAAAATCTTTCTAGGATATAGGTTACCTGAGATGGGCGACCAGAGCCCAAAGGCAAAAAGGACATGGGAAATTTACAACATACTAGGTGAACATGAGGCAAAGATGCAACAACTTGAAGCAGAGGGCAAGTTACCAAAGCGACACCAAAGAAGAGATAGAACAAAGTGAAAGTAGTGAAGAAGTAACTTCATCTAGTGAAAGTAGTGGCAATGAAGGAAAAAGAAGAGTTAAAAACTCAGTCAGGAAGAAAGTGAAGCTTGGTACGAAACAATTATGACAAATAAATCCAACTATTCTATATTTTTACCCATATGAAATGTACGCCGCTCAGAATATAACGCCAACAGTTTTGGATGCCATGAACGGAAATGTTTCCGAATGGTATAACGAATGCGACAATGCCATTAGAAGGTCAGAAATAGTTCCTGGAACTTACGAATATACAACTGCTGTTCTTATGGAAACGTAGGTGAGTTTGGAGAAGGTTCTTCAACAACAGTAGATATTGCTTGCGACAGGTTTCATATTATTTCTATTGACAACTCATTCTTATACGTGGAACAAGACATTGAAATAAAACCTTCTGCCAAGTTGTCTGACAAGAAAGGTTGCAATGGAATTTCTATGTCGGATACCAATATGCTCCAGAAGTTTTCATGGGATATAAGATATATTCTAACTCTGACTTAGTTCAAACAGTAACATGGGCAAACTATGAATGGTTCGCTTTGAGAAACTCAGTACAACCACAAGCTAGAGAACAAACAGACCAGTATGCAAATATTGAGAAAATAAGAAGACTTGACCCTAACGTTCCAGGAGTTTATGTTAACCTTTCTGGTTCAGATGGAACTGCTGCCACTAAAGTAAAACTGAAACTTAGAGTTCCTTTGTCATCTTTCCTCATCTTCAGGTTTTTAAGATACTTGCCAAACTGGGCAGGAAAAATTTCTATTGAACTTACTCCAAGCAAAAATAACTTAGTCATTGCACCAACACAAGACCCATTCAGCATTACTATAGCTGGAACTGGTGGAGCCAAGTTCTGTGACTTTTGCAAAGACAAAGTTGACTTAGACTTTGGTTTCTCAAACTTCAACAATGAAGTAAACTATTATTTCAATGCTGCTGGAACTGCTTGGGACCAGTTAAGTTCACATGCGAAAAATTTGAATGCAAGAGAATAGAAAGCAGACTTGCAGTCTATATGTTGGACCCAGATATTTCAAATGCTTTAGCTGCCAAATATATTGCAGTTCCACTTATGTTCCCTATACACCAAATATCTGTCAAAGACTTTGCAGGTGAAGTTGGAAACCAAAGTGCTGACCCAGGTGCAAGAACAGATATTGCTTTAACAAATGCAATGAAACATGCAGATACTATGTTTGTACTGTTCAGACGAACTATAAATGACTATTCTTGTTTCTACAACCCCGGTATTAAATATCATATAAACATAGATGGCAAATATTATCCAAGAGAAGAATATTCTACAGTTGAGGATATGAGGTCATACAACTTGACATTAGATGCTATGAACTTTAACAACAACTTCACAACAACCATAAACCCTGAAATGCAAAGTTCTATTATGCCATATGTGAAAGTATGGACTCATACAGGAGGTCAAAAAACTCAATACAAATGGAGACCGTTCAAACTTTTGGCTTGGCATTCCATTTGCTGACTCAGAAGACTTTATGGGTGGTATTTCAACTGTTGGTACTGTACAAATACAATATACTGGTGACAGAGACGGTCCAGATGAACTGAGAGCAAAGAAGTTTACAAAACCAATAGCACTTTTCACGGAAGATGCTCTTTTGAAGATTCGTTCGATGAAACCTGCTGGGGCTCCTCAGATTGGCATAACGACAGCTTCCATCGAGCAGATTTTGGCAGCAGGTCAGTAAGTTGTTCTTGAACTGACTTCTCTCCGTCAAATATGACAGTACGCCAGTTTTGACATAATATTGTAAGATAAACTTACCTTTAGAAATATCTGTAAGTTTTGAAGTTATATTTTTGTCTGCTTCAAGAACTTTCACCATTTCAGTTATACCAACTTTCTTTGCTTTATGAAAATATTTTGGTTCAGCAAAGACTGCTATTCTATAACATTTACCATTGTTTGTATAAAGAACTATTCTGTCAATGTATTTGTATTGTTTGTGTGTGTAAACTTTGTTCTGCTTCAATTCGAAGAGATACTCGAATACGTCCATCTTTTTATTCTAAGTAAAATGTCATTTCCGAAAAATAGAAGCGTGAGTGTTTCAAAAGGTTTAATGGCGGTGGCAGATGTGAAGTTAAATTCACCAACTCAAACAAACAGTCAAAGTGTTGTTGTCAATGTCAAAGACAGAGATGTTGAAGTGGGGAAACCATACGAAGACGAAGATGGTATAACAATTGTTCCTGTAAAAGAACAACCACA